TGAAGATCCAAGACAAAGATCCTGTGAATTCCCAGTTCTTTCTTACAGTGACATGACATCAAGCACAATCAGATATTCACATCTATATTCAGCGTGCCTGGGAAGACTCATCAGTACAACACCATTGACACGCAATCAGTTTATCAAAGTTCAGCTGATGTTTTCAGCCACAGGAAATCCAAGGTAAAAGACACCTCTATTTTTTATTGCATAAAAGCAGCAGTAACTCAGTGAGTTGTAACTTTTACAACTAAGCTGCACAAGTTCTGACAACTTTTAGGAACGTTTCACTTTTGTTTTACCTCAGACCCACTGCAGGTGACCAGATAACAGAAGGCAGAAGGTAAGACCGACGACCTAGAAGCTCTCAGTCACCCAGGGCTGTGCCTGCAGACTCCCCAAACATTAACTGGAATTAAGGAGTTCCCTGCAATGCTGCTTCCCTGCATGTTTCTCATAGCAGAGCTGGCAAAGCACCATCCCCCTTCCCTGACAGATGAGGATGGCCACACCACTCCACGTGCTGGGTTTGTCTCCCAGTGAGTCACCTTGTGACCACCAGTACCATTAGCCTGTTCAGTGGAAGAATTCAAAGGACTCATTTTTCAGCCTGAGGCAACCTTCATAAACTACTCCCAGAAAAGCAGCCTCAGCCTGACGTCCTCCGACTGCAGAGCTTCAGCACAGGCAGATAAACACAATTAAAGCTCTATTTGAAGAGCACATCTCCCTCAGGCAGAAGGGCCACTTATTGCCCCCATTCTCCAGAGGGAGAAACATTTATTCCACGTGCTCTTCAAATCTGCAGGTTGTGAGAGTGTCATTAGCACGGGAGCATCTGTGCAATAAGGGGATGTAGGACATGGAGAGCAGAGTCCAGCAGATTTCAGGTCAGGGGGAGCCCTATCAACAAGGGCAGCTGCAGAACGGGAACGTTCCGGAGTGTTTTCCTGACGGCTCTGATTTCTTGGAAACTTCAAAAGTCAGAGACGTGCCAAGTTCTCCCTCAGTTGTCCCAGATGCTGAGCAGGATCTAAGAATGGGTTACACAGCCAGCCTGGCACACACAGGTACTAAAATATCCCAGGTCTCTTTTTCAGAAAGCACATTATATATAGGAACCTGCAAGACATTCTACAGACATTGCAGAATTGTTTAACACAACACTACCATGCTTTAGTTAAACTTCAGAGAGAAACTGCCTTTCTCCCATGAAATAGTCCCCTAAAAGCTTGCAATTTTCAACAGTACAGGCATTTCCCACACTAGTTTGAGGGAAAATCTTAGGTATGATCCTTTTTTTTTTATCCAGTGCTGTTTCGAACACAACTCACACTGGAAGCAGCTGGAAGAGAGTGTTTACTCACAGACCTCAACTGCCCACTGTAAAAGCAGCGTGTTCTCCATCTGAACTATCAGCTACCACAGTTGTACTAATTTGATGCACAAAACATAGTGAAAATAAGGCATAACAGACATCATTTCACACCACTCGTATCCAGGCCTGGGATATACATCCCTGAATAATCCCTAAAACTTCAGGCTAAAAAAAAAGGAAATGCTTTTCTCTAAACTCAATTTTAGTCTCTGTAAATAAGTGTTTAGCGTTTCCTGGCACAAATATTTTCACTGAATGTGAATGCATTTTTTTGATTTATTTACTTTACACTCAGCCTCCATACAGTAGCCAGAAGAAAACAGTTCAAAAGCTACTGCAAAGGCAGAGCAGATGCTGACTTTGAATAGTTTCTCATTACACTCTGAAAAAAATTTAAGCTCTAAGCTCACTGAACTCGTAATAATTCACTGAACTCTGAAACTGGAAACAAAATTTTTACAGATTCCTCACCGTTAAGTTTATGAATTTAGGGGAAAAAAAACCCTAGAACAAAAAAAAAAATTTGGAAATAAAAGCTACATTTTCCATTCACTAACTTGTTGACCAGCTGTTTTACCTTCCCTTAAGACACAGTTATTAAAGAAAATTACACTTACCTGAACTAGAATTCTTGGCCTTTGAGGGGATGGAAAAGGAACTTTATGCATGAAATGGGAAATATGCCTAGAGGAAAAGAAAAAAAAAATACTGATTTAGTAGAAATGAAGTTTAAACTGCTTTACCACAAGACAAAATTTTTTCAGGAAGAGAAATTATTATATTAAAAAAAATGGATCATACTCATTCAGAAAACAGAGAGCAAAAAAACCCAGCACCTAAACCTTAATGGGATATTCTGACCCTTCAAAACCTATTTTTCTCCTGGTGACAAAGCAAAATGAGAGGCCAGATTATCTTTCAGAATACAAACTGGGTTTATGAGACTGAAAAATTCAAGGAGGTTTTATTAATTTATTTGTAAACTAGAAATCCTGATGTTTGAGTATCACAGGAGCATTTTACAACACTAAAATAGTTTGAAATAGCACCATCCCTCAGAGACCAGCACTGCAAAAAATAAAAATATTCACAGCTGAATATCGAGAAGAGTCATCAAAGCTCATCCATTTCCTTCACTTCTAAATAGGAAGTGTTATATAAAATTGCTGATGGAAAAAGTAATAAAGATTTTTGATATGTACAAACACAGGGAAAGGTTTTAATTTGACCAAGTTCTCAGTTTTTATGAATTGACTGAACTTGCATAAGTTCTGGAGGTATAAATTCTACATAACAGAAACTTTCACATTAAAAGAATGACATGAAATCAGTAAAAACTGAGGAGAAACAGCTTTTCCATCCCAAACTGAATTCCACCGCACATCCTTCACTGGGATTTCTGCCACTCTCACCACTATGACACAGACAACCACCCAATTTTTGAAGAAATTCAGACAAACCCACAAGTAAACATTGATTTGGGCTTTTTTTCCTCTACTACCAGTGTATGAAAGTGGTGGCCAAAATAAGGGAGATGGATCCACAAGGGAAGGGCCTTGTGTGCTGCTTGTGTTCAAACACATGCATGGCACAGACACCCCTCACCATTAAAATAGCCAAAAAACCAGGCTAGATGATATATTAGAGTCATATTTGAATTTTCCACAGTAAATTGACCAGTTTAACGTCAACCTAAATTTCAACGTCAGTTTACAAATCACAGAAATTAGAATGCACCAAAAAATCCATACAAATCAAAATTAAGCATTTCTTATACTTACTTCTCATTTTATTCATTCCCAAAACTCAAACCCCTCAAAATCCTCAGCTTAAAAAACAAAAAAAAACCAAAAAAACAAACCCAAACCCCTTCATCTTCCTCACTGGAAGTTTACACTCTTAGAATTTTCAAACAAGTACAGTGCTGCAAAGTGGAATAACGAAGGGGATCAACAACCACAAGAAATACTTAAACCTCATAGAAGTTAATATTGAAGTTTAAGCAGAAAAGGGATTGCCAAGTAACAAAAGAGGAAAGCAAATGGTGTATTTATTTGTAATCTGGTGCATTAAAATGTTACTTTAGCTCAGAAATGTTAAATGGTGTTACACATCAGCTCCAGCTATCGACCACTTGTGGGGTGTGAGGGCTTCCATTGCATTTTAAAATGGAAAATCCTTTGTGTGTGAGAAGGAAATTGGTTTTATTTATCATGAACAGATGAGAATTACCAGTGCAAAATATTCAAAATCTGCTTTATCATCTCTCATTACACTACAAATGGGCACTTGAAAAAATGCAAACCTACGTATTTAGTTCTCCTGACTTGATGGGTGCAAGATTAAGAAAGGATTTATAATCTTGCTCCTCCTGATCGCTATGGCTAAAGGGTGCAAAGCTAATTAAAACCGCTCTCAGAGACCTTTGCAGGCACTTAAATCACAAATAAAAACCTGGAGTTTTTTAGGAAGCAGCCAAAGATACATTTAATCACAGGAGAGAAGCGTTTCACTTTGTGAAACCATTCTACTGATGACTAAAGTAAAAAAGCACAACGGGAAATTTAGAATTTAAAAAAAAAAAAAAAAAAAGAGCTCTCATCAACTGCAAAGAGCATCATGAATTCTGGATGGGACTCACTTTTCAATGGGAAGGACGTGTGGCCCAGAAATGGAGTAACGATACAGGAAGGTGAGGAACTTCTTGAAAGCATCGAAGAAAGGCCAGTGGGACAGCAGGCAGATGCACTTGTTTGTCTGCACTGTCCTGCACGGGTCTGACTTGCCCTCAGCAGCAGCTGCCAAGCCCAGCTGAGATCTTTGTTTCTCTGTGAGGTTTTCTTCAGGATACAGCTCATAAAACTGGATAGCAGCACCGTAGACCTGCAAAAAACACCGCGGGTTTGGGGGCAGGGGGTTCAACCTCCATCCTCAAAGCAATCTGACAAAGCCCAGACACACACAAGGAAAAATCAAGTCTGTGGGACTGCTTGAAAAGCTGAATTAATGCATCATCTTTTGAAGCAATTTAGCCCAGAATGTTCTTATGGCTGCGAAAATCCAGACTGTCTGTTAATTATTTAAAACACTTAAAGTCATATGAGGAAGGGTAATTTATGAAACTATTTAAGGGAGAGAAAAATAATGATTATGGAGAGTACAACCACAGTCAACTGCTCCTACAATTGCCTTTAGAGCTATTTTAGGAATCCTTTATAGGCAACTCAAAGCAGTATTCCCTGACATCCAATTTACTTTTCAGAACAAGTATGTACATGCCAGGTCGCTTCCATGCTTGCAATATAAATAGAATACTTGCATGTATATGCAGTCAGATTTTACAGCTCTCCAGTTTCACAGGCTAACAGGACTGCAGAGCAAAGGGGTTTATGAGCAACAGTCCAGCTCCAAAATAAATGCAAGTCACTCTTTACAGCAGCCTTTAAATGAAGCCCAAATGAACAGGTTCAAGTTTGCCTCTGAAAACGTTCATTATCATAAACCCGAACAGAGAAACAACCACACTTTTAAAATTAAATTAACTTTTTTTTTTTTTTCCAGCTTAAAAAGTACCTTTTCTGCAGAAGCTCCAGTTAGTACAAAGGTAGAAAAAACTGGGAGGGGGTATTTACTGTTTGATGGCCAACATTCAATGGTTGCACCCATAGGCAGGCAAAAAAGAGGCACAGATTCTGGTAATGGGAATGATTCATAATCTTCTTCAGGGTATCTGCATATCAAACCTAGAAAGGGAAGGTGCAGAGAGGCAGTTATGGAAGGAACAGCAGAAGGAGATTTGGAATAGCTCATTCCACAAAACAATGCCCACAAAATTCACCCATGAGCCTACAGCAGCTTCAGAAGATCAGGGAAATTGTAAATTAGGGAGGAGCTGGAAGGGGCAGGTGCTGCCACACCTGACTAAAGCACTGGACTGAAATCCTACTTCCCATTCGAGGAACTATCCACAACTACTTCATCTTTTCCTTTTGTGCATCTCAGCTGTTCTATTGTAATAGTTCACATCCATCAGCAGCACCAGCAAAGATTTAAAATCCAGTTTAAAAAACGCTAACATGAGTAATTGAGAAATAAGACTGATGTTTTCAATTATGCCAACAAAAGTTCCCTGAGAAATATATATATGTTAAATATTAGATTTTTTTTTTTAAATAGCAGTAGGATTTATTATACTCCTGTTGTTTACAGAGAGCAGCATCTCAAAGGGATATAAGTGAATTAAAGCTGAGGTCTGAATCATGCTCGTGACTTGCATGCCAAACAAAATCAGGGTTTAAAAAAACCCAAAAAAACCCGAAAACCCGACACATTTCATCAGTCACAGCAAATCTAATTCTGTCTTATAAAGAAAACAACAAAATAAACATGATATGCAATCCAAAAATCCTTAAAGAGCTCAGTGCCACTGAGGCTCAGGGCAGTCTGCAGGACTCTTCAGAATGTTTCTTAAAGAAAGTGGTCGATCAAATTTGCAATTTGCAAATGCAGCAAATAATTTCTCTGGTAGTTTCTTCTGCATATATAGACATATATATATATACATATATACACACACACATCCTTAAGAGACAGCTCCCAGCAGCAGAAACAAGAAGTGAGCTTCCCATTAAAAATAAAATTCTGAAATAAAACAGTCATGATACCTATTTCTAAGGGTTATTTTAGGACACTGTTTTAGAAGAATTCCTCAGGGAAAGATTCCCTTTTTGATAATGGCAAGGCAGTGTCCAAGAATTCTTCAATCCAAAACGTATTACATTGCAAATGAGCCTGTACCCCCTGAGCTGAAGGTAAGGAAAAGCTAAACAGCAGTTACATACCAGCTTTGTATGATATGGTGTTGGTTTTTGCCACAGACTTTTTGTAACATAAATAGACTGCTGAGCCCCACTGTAAAATAAAAGAAATTACTGGGTTGAGTGATGAAATACAACAAAAGGATATAATAGAAAAGAGTGGAGGAAAACCTCACACTGTTAAGGTCTCAAATTCTGAACAAGAAAATAAAGACCATGGAAAGCCGTGGGACAGAAAAGACCAGCACCCTCAGAGGGAACACAGATGTAACCATTTCCATAGGACAGCACTTCCATAAGCCAGTCAATGCAGGCACTGGTAGAACTGAGAAATCCATTTCTCAATGCCTACAGGCATTTACTGAGAAACAAGCACAAATCAATTCCCATGATCTTTCTAACATGATCCTACTTGCACGTGCAGTCAGCGCCCTCATCACACACCGACTTCTGAGGGCCCTGCAAGTGCCAGGAAACAGAGCTGGCACTGTTTGACCAGGAGACATCCAAATACTGGGTTCTGCAAATCCAAGTGGTGTGACACTTGGGTATTAATTTGGCAGGTCAGGAACCATGGGAAGGGCTTTAACAGGTTTGCAGTCAACAGCTTCCAACATCACCTCACATGCAACTTCCTTCAAATAAGTCTGTGAAACCACCGAGGAGACGAACATTTATAAAACAGCATTGTAGGTGATGGGAGAGTTTTAGAACAAAACAAGCTGGTTGTTAGATACAGAATTCCCACAACACCAGTAAAATCAGTGTCAGAAACAGCCACATCTGTAAAACCTCCGGTGGCACAACAGGTTCTGGAGGACCAATCCAAAGCTGTTGAATTCACCATTTCCAAGTCAGCACTAAAAACATTTGCTCCAAGGCTTCCAAAAAATACTTTGTTCCAAGCAGCAACGAAGGAATGTAATCCTCCAACTCTTCCAGTATTTGCTTTTTATCTCTGGAGAGCCCTTCTCAAAATTTTTCCCCGGGTACTCCACGAGCTGCCACAAACACTCCACAGACGCCTCATCCCCGAGCGCAGACTCTGAATCTTACCATGCTGTTGTTAAGGTTCTTGTCGACCTTGCAGAAGGTGTGTGGAGGGGTCTCCCCCTTGCTGGGGATGATGATGCAGATGTCTGTGACGGCCAGCGCGTTCTGGGTCATGTTGTCGGCGGCCCTGCGGTAGGTGAGGAAGACGCGCTGGGACGAGGCGCTGCCGCTGATGTTGGCAGGACGGCCGTAGGGAGTGGTCTGGATTATTTCACAGCCTTGCTTCACTCTCTCTTTCCCATCATACAAAACCCTAGTTACAGTGGGATGGGGGAAAAGTCAGCAGGCGCGTTTTTAAAGTGCTTTGAATACCAGCTGAGAACTGTAACCAAATAATACTAATTTATTGGCAGCTCTTGTATCATCTCTGAACATTTTTACAGATCACATCATATCAAACTGCACTCTAACAAAAAGTCTTCATGACAAAACTATACATACAGCTGCTTTTAAGAATTTTGTTTACTGCAAAACAGTGTTATTTTCAGGTCTACTAAAGATTCCTTGCCTGATGCTAAGAATGTCATACAACTCACCTCTCTTCACTCTGTATTAAAATAGGTTAAGCATCTTATCCCAATCTAAATATATACACTGAAAATTGTAAATGGCTTTGAAAACTCCAAAATATGAAGGATCACAGCTGTCACTAAAATCCACTCGGCACTCCTTTTCCCTACCATACTGGGTTACAGTGTGCTCAAGGCAACAAATACCTTCCTGCTCAGAGCTTTGCCTTGTATGGCCCTTCAAGAAATCTGCCTTATCTGCTCATTAGTCAAATAAAACTGTAAAAACCACCCACTGGAACAGAAAAGCCACTCACCCCAAATCAGTAAGTGGGGGTTTGTCCCTTCCTCGGCGATAACAAAGGTATATCTGCGGTCCTACCAGGCTGCCGTTGTTGAGATCTGCAGACAGGCCTGAGGGAGTGACATCTATGCACTTGTATCCCTGGGGAACTTCCTCCCCCAGGGATTTATTAAGCACTGTTACATCTGTGATGGGCTCTTTTGGCTTGGCTATTTTATGGCAGGCGTCGTTGAAGTGGATTTCCTCCTCCAGCGGTTTGGAGATGTCCGTCAGTCCTGCCACGACAAAGTAGTCGGCAACACGGGCCCCTTTGTCTTCCATCTTCCATCACAAGATGTTGTGACTGCTGAGAAAGAAAGAAAGAAAGGGATGTCAGGGTCTATGAAGGCAATTAGAAGATATCAAAAGTAATAAGGTGATGTTTATTTTTAAAAACATAACAGAACACCACAAAAGGAATAGAGTCAGCATCAGATCATGTAGCGCTTTTGATCTGTAATCACACCCTTTCCAGTTTGGGATTCTGAGCCACAGTCTTGTGAGTTAATTGTTAAATCTTGGAATGGAAAAGCAGAGTGGGCTCTCTGTGTTACTCTGTGTTACTTACTGGAGTGGCTGAACAACAGGAACAGTAAGAGCAAAATTCTGTGCAAAGTTTGGCAAACAGGTCCCGACTGGGCCAAAATGCAGTTCCCGTGTATTCTGCCTACAGTCCATTACTGCATTCAGCTCACCATGACAATGGATCTTCCAAGGCTTCACCTGCAATTAATTTCTTTCCCGAATATTAAACATATATGCAAAGGCTGTCTTGATGATTCTAAAGATATAATATTTGCAGCTGTCTCGCTCTGTAAGATCTTACATCAGATATCAAGGCCAGATCTTCACGGAGTATTTTTGCAGGCTATAAGTTGAAACCATTTTATTTTACAGTGGTTTGGGACTCAGATCCTTGACAGGCAACTCATCCACAGCCAGGGACATACCAGCTTTTATACAAAACACTTAAACTGAGTCAGCTTCAATAGAGCACAGACCACTGTGAAACAAAAACATTCGAGACCACATGAAGTTTTTCGGAATGAGAAGGAATAGAGTCCTGCTGTTCCAGCCAAACTGCGTTGGGAAATTATATTCTCTGTTCCTGGAATGCATTGATAAAAGAATTCTTTACATATGAACTCTTCCTGTATAGTATTTTTTGCAGTGCTTGCTGCCAGTGTTGTAAATTAACTTCAGCTCAGGATACACATCTACTGTGGGATGAGCAGACAAGCAATGCAGGGCATACATGTCAGGAGGTTCAGTTTCCTCTTTGTCAGAAACTCTTGAATGCCTTTGTAAGTCACTTAAAATTCATATTTCCCTTATTTTATAGCTTGATTGTGCAAATAAAGAAAATGCTGTTTCATGGAGTATTGAGAAACGGGCTAAAAATGTTTATCCAAGTCACTCACATGTGCTGGAATCTTGCTAAAGCAGCTTCAGGAAGTTTACTGTCATCGACTTCCAGGCTTTTTAAACCAGACAAGCTATTTCAGACTCCCTTTTGTTAAATTAATTTTGTTTGGGTGCAAAATTTTGTTGCAAGAGAAACTGTTACCACACAGGAGTTTTCAAGAGCTTGCTGACATTCAGAGACTGAGCAAACAGAATTTAAAACACTTGGAGTGGTTGGTCCAAGACTTCAGTTTTCATGGAATCTTTATTCCCTTCGCTTTAGCTCCCTTTGTTTTTTGGCCTAGGTAGTTGAGTATTAAGCTTTATCAAACTCACAGGTAATGAGGGAAATTATGTCATAAATTGATATCCATTGATACTGTGCATGTGATCAGATTGTTTCAAGCTGGCCTCAGATTTCCAGCCCCAGTTCCTGCTCCAGGAGGAGGAATGTCAGGCTGTGCCTGATCACCCCCACCAACCTCATCCACCACTGCAGGAGAGGCAATTCCAGCTTCTTCCTGCTCTGACTCTCTAGGTTGGTTGTGTTTTGCTGGACTGAGTGACTCAACAAGTTTCTGAAGCTGCCAGGAAATGAGTAGAACTTTTTGTTTAAGGTTATTTACATCATTCAAGAAAATGCCAAGAAAAAAGCCCCCAAATTATCTAACCTTTCTTTCTTTCTCTGTGGTTAACAGGCAATGTGGGACACTTCAGAACACGTGATTCCTGGGAAACAATCATCAACATACAGCAGAGTAACGGTTTGAAAACAACTGCTCAACTTGTGTTTGGAGAGAATAAAGAACATAGTCACAAAACTAAGCTTAATTTAACCTAAATTCAGTTATTTCAAAAACATCTGGAATATGTTCCTCAGCATATATGAAAGTAATAACTCCAAATTCAAACTCCTCCTGGAGTGATATACCCAGAGCCACACAAATTCAGGCCCTGCATATGGTGCCCATTATCTCCCTGTCCATCTGGCTGCAGGGAATCCAGACAGGCTGGGAACAAATGCACGGAGAGAGGAAAGGCACTGCACAAAGCATCTTTAAACTGACAGAAGACCAAACATTGACATCTTTTAGCTAACAGGACTGAAGTTCTAACTGTTTTGAAACATTAACAATTCTCTGTGAAACGTAACCATGGTATACCATCACATTTTAGCTCTCGTAATATTAAGTTTTGTTCCTTTTCCCACCAGCATCATTTCACAAAACTACACTGATTTCTGGAGTGATTCACAATGCCTTTTAAGCTGAAATGAAACCAACACTTTAGTAATCAAGAATTCTACAAATGATGGCTGTTAAAACTGCAAGTAAGCCTTTTAACTCCAATGTATTAGCACCCCTATATTCCAGTTTAATCAGCCAAGACAGCATTACAAATAAACACAAAGACACATATATAACACTGAAGAATCATACCTATCTCACTGTTCATTATTTCATACCAAAAGTCTTAAATTCAAGCATTCATTTATTCCCAAAAGCACTTTCAAGAAAAACTGGGGCAAGCTCAGCTCATTTAGAGCCAGTTAAAATTAGAATCCCCTACATACAAACACCTGCTATCACACAAATTTGCTTCCTAAGGTTATAGCACATAATAGACAAGTCAGCAAGACTTTCATAATTTAATGCAGATTTTACAGAAGGGAGAGGGGGAAAAAAAAAAGGTCTGGCTGACGATGCATCATCCCTTCAAATCTGCCCCAGCCCTGAAGTGTCCAAGGCCAGGCTTGACAGGGCTTGGAGAAACCTGGACTAGTGGAAGGTGTCCCTGTCCGTGGCAGGGGGTTCAGACTGGATAAGTTTTAAGGTCTCTTCCAACCCAAACCATTGTGGGATTCTCTGAAGATTTTATCATCTTTGCCTTTTGATAAAAACACTTGCAGCTCAAAAGGGATAAAATGCAGAAGATACTCTGCAGGGGGATTTTATTTAAGCCAACTTAAACTTCACTAGAGCTGCCCTGATACTGAAGTTTTCACCATCAGATTGATGCCAACTTCATGTTAGCAGACCCCAGAAAGAGGGGACATAACTGTGAGTTAACTCAGCGACGAACAATCATCCTGTGAGAAGCATTTCACATAAACTGGTGCATCTGAATAATTTCTGTAGGAACTTTTTACCATGAAGGTATTTCCAAGCCCGTTACAGACATCTCACAGTACAGCAAATCGGCTTTGAAAAAAAAAAAAACCAGAAACAACCAAGCCCAAAAACACACAAGAAAAAGAACACAGAAAAAGTCACAGCGCACAACAGCGTCGCTTGAAGCAGCCGGTTCCAGATGAAATTCAACATTTACACTCAGTGCCACACTGAGAAGCTTCTACTGCTTCTCTCCACTTGAGTAACCTGAGGATGAAAGGCTGCCCTTTGAAGACAATGCCATGGGATCACGAACTCTTACAAAAGTCCCTGCAAACAAGTGCAGTCCATGGTCTTTGAGCCATCCATGATAATCATTTTTAATGGACTGCACGTAATTAATAGCACCATAAACTGAATGCCAGAAGCATCAGAAAGAGCCTAAACCTTGCCAGTAGCACAGTTACTTGTAAAAAAATTATTAAACACACACACAGACTTTGCAGATCATGACTATATAAATGTGGGAGAAGAGGGCTTTCTGCCATGTCTAAAAATATGTGAACAGGGGAAACAATCAGATAATCCTCCCACACAACCACAAACTATTAGCTTTGATTACTCTGCTGAAAGACAAAGAGTAAACTCGGTTTCCTTGTTTAGTCAAGCTAACGTTCTAATATCATTACATTTTTTCAGAAACATTTAGGGAATACTAATTAATAACTTTTGCTGCCTGTCACCAGTGCTGTAATTCAAGCAGTGTCCAAGCTTTTTGAACAGATCCCATTTCTCATTCAGATGCTCTAAGAGGAAAGCTTTTCCCCATCACATGACCTGGTGGGGATGTGCAGCAGGAACAGGAGTGATGCTTCACGAAGCAAAGGAAGAAAATACTGATTTAATTCCTACAACCTGCAGAATTTTGTAGAGGTAACTTTTAAGTGGCTGCAGACCAGAAGAACCACTCCAGCCCTTCCAGGAGCCAGCTTTCCCAGACAGCAGCCAGGACCATCTGACTCCATTAGAACAGTTTTGTCAGTCCACCTCTGGCAGACAAATACAACTGCCCTGTAATCTTTTAATCTTCCTTGCCTTCATCCTCATTCCTTCCTGCATTTTAATTTGAGACTATTAAATGGCTTATTAATTTGAGTTCCTTATTAGATCCATTTGCTGTCTAAGGCAGGTGACATTTTACTTTGTTAGCCTGACTCCAAACACACGTTCCATTTTTAAACAAGGAATGAATGTCTCCTAGAGCAGGTTGGAAGCCAGTGCAGGGCTCTGCAACACACCTTTTTAATAACACTTTGAACTGTTTTAAGCCACGATGATTTTTTTTAAAAAGTATTCATCACATAATCATATTCCAAGAATTTCCTTCCTTTGCAGGCACATGACGAGGAGATGGAGAGACACAAATCGGTGGTCAATTATTAAAAATTGTCAGTGAAGTTCTAAGAGTCCCCAGTATCTCACCTCATGGGTACTGCTGCATCACCCTGCTGAGGGATGCTGCTGACAGGGACATGGCAGCTGGTCATGCAAGAGCAAAGGGGAGTTAACTGGACCAGTCAGTCCTGCTGTGGCCACTCAGGACCATTTCCCAGCCATGACACAGCACAAATCACATGAGAGCTCCAACAGTCTCAAGAACATGTGAATAACTGCAGTTACACAAGGCAAAAAAACTTTGTGTTTCCAAAGCTGCCTGGCAAAAGTTATCAGACAAACCTCTTCCCCCCCCCCAAGTATTCCCCTCACAGAAAGCCAACAATCCTGGGAACAAAGCAGAAGCACCCCTAGTACCACAGGGATTCCCAAGTCAGAACAAGCCTTTTGCCAACTCCAGCAGCGCGTTGCCTACCTTTTCATCAGGGCATTGCTTCCACACTTGGCCTCTCGTGCTGTCAGGCAGGCTTTAAAACAGACTTCCTGTTAAAGTTTCATTCCCTATAGAAATAGTAAAAACGAGAATTAAACAAGGCACACTTTTGTTCAAACTTAAATTTCTGCACACTCCACTGCACCAGTCACATGAAATGAACTGCTGTAGGACCCACTTGCTAAGATAAGGTTACATGCCACTTAACTATTAAAAAAGTATGAAACCAGACTTTAAGAAAATATCAACGCAGCACAAAATTTGATATTTTAAGAACACAAACAACATTTGATGCTTTAAACCAAAACAAATCAAAGCACAGCTGAGCCAGCCCCTTCAAATGATCTCAACTCTTCCATTATTTTCTGACAATCAATACCTTCCCGTCCATTCCCAGGACTTTGCCAGCCCCCAAAGTGCTCTTTCAGCCCAACGACCTTCCCAAGCCTTCTTCAAATCCCTTTTCTTTGCAAGATGCTGATATTTAAGCAGATCCTTCCTGCTCCACAATCAGCAATACACACACACACTCTTCCATCCAGCCACCTTACTCCAACTCTTCTTGCAGGGGGTGACACGGTCCCCTTGCTCCTTCCTGTCACAATCACCGTTTTAATTCAGCTCTGGAAAACTCCAACAGGAACCCTTTCAAACACTGGTGTGACCACAGACACCCTGAGCTTGTGTTTCACTCTGAGATGTGGAAGCCCAGCAGTCTGTGCTACGTTTGGGCATTTTGGAGCAGCAGTTTCCCACAGGGCTGAGGATCCCACCTCACTGGAGACACTCGGAGACTCCAGGCTCCCACAACAGCTCATTTACACTTTGTCTAAAGGAGGTTTCTGTTCACCAACACCTGGAGAACACTCTCAGAAGATTGCCATGAGAAAACAAAGTAGAACATAAGCAGGAACACGTCTCAGGAGGGTTCCCACAAACCATGACAGATTTGCTTCCAGTCCTGAGGCGGAAAAAGCTGGGGAATTAGATGACTAGAATTGTAATTTTGGGATCACAAAGTTCAAGGTTCTGTTCATAACTCCAATGTACAGGACAACCAGGGCCATCAGCACTGGTAGCTCATCACTCCTGCTCTCTCTGACCCCACAGCACCACGGAGCAGCCCCAGTCACAGCCAGTTACTCTCCAGTACCTGACTGGGAACAGTTTCACAAAAAGCTACAAAGAGTGGCACTGCATGATTCCCCCCAATGGCCTGATCTGTAATATTGAGTTTCCAGAAGTGTCAGAAATTATAAATGTAGGGATCACCCGCAGACCTCAATCGCAGCTGCAAAAAAGTCCAGGAATTCAGCAGCACTAACACACGAATAATTTCCCCACAGACACTTCAAAACACTCCTTTCCTACTCACCTCTCTGGAAAGACAGTGAGGAGAGTTAAATGGAAGAAAAATAAAAATATATTTCTACATCACAAGGAAGACAGCCAGACCTGCTGCCAGTGTACCTGCAGGTCTATTTTCCATCACTTGCAGAACATATTTATGACTTTGCTGTCCTCCACCTATTGAGTTAAAGATCTACTTGCTCAAAAAACAAGATGCAAAGAACCTACACTTTTCCCCCCAAACAATCAGAACCTCTCATAGCATTTTTATTTTAGGACACTGCCTGTACTTTTTCTTCCCATTTCCTACCACTACAGCCACACAAATGCCAGCAACAGAGAAAGTTGCTACAAACAGGGCTAAAGTGATCAGTGCATTATTTTTTAGAGCCTACTGCACAAACCTGCCCTATGTGGTGTCAGACAACACAATAATTAACAAGAAGCCACTGGTCTACAATAAGCACCCTTTGATGCTGCATCAGTTGTTATTAATAAAAAAAAACCAAACACAAAACCACAGAAAATCAAGAAAAATCCCAAGATTTTTCTGCCCAGCATCACTGGACTGGAATTGCTACCATGACACTTGCGCCACAGCAAAACCCCAGGAAATCCAACCCTGCCTCCAAAAGTTCTAGGAAGTGATGTTCAAGGATCCCACGAGACTCGTGACGAGAGGCAAATGGGTTTTAAAATCTCCACTTTTCTTTCTAGATTGCAGGATTTATGGTCAAAAGAATGGAAAGGATTTCTGAAATACAACTGTGTTTATAGGGAGGGATGCAGAAAACAAATTGTAGCCAACGAGGAGGAGGACAGCCAAAGCAAGCACTAGAAAATGTAAATATTACCTCATCCAGAGCACAGTTCAGGAGGGGGCTGGTCCACGGCTTTTGTACAACTCCTTATTTTACCACAACTTTTTAAAGGGAGAGATCCCCCCAAACACAACGTTCTGTTTTTCTTGGCACAGCAGACAAAGGCAAATCTTCCAACCCTGAGCTTCAAAACCCAAAATCTGTCACTGGAAATGTCAAAGTGCATCAACCAAGAGTGTGACAGAAGTGACCTGCTTTCACCCAGCCACGTTTGGGCACACATGCCAACCTCAGTTTTCTTTTGGAACCACGTTCTACCCAAATTAAATTTTGAAACTCATGGTGTGCTGCAAGGAAAGACAGGTGGGAGTTGTTTCTAACACATTTTGCTGCATTTAAGAACGCGTTTTAATTGTGACTTAGAACGTTGTGTGCGATTTTTTTTGCCTTTGGCCAGCAGAAATGCCCTGTCAGGTGAGAAAACTGGACAACTGGATGATGGCAATCATAGACAGAGTGCCTGACATGCAAAGACAGCATCTGCCAGGCTGTTACTGCTCTCTGCAGATCATCTGCACCCCACTGGAAAGGTTTAATGGAGGGATAACACTCACTAATACCTCCCTCATCTACTAAATCTCTACATCCAGCTACCAAAATGTTCATCCACAGAAAAATAAGTGGCAAAGTACCACCACCTGCTCAGCTACAAATACATCGACCACCATGTACTGCTGGGACAGTTTCTCTGCCAGCACCAGCAGGGTCTCCTCCCAAAAATCACAGTATTGGCTCAAGAGCAGTGATATGCCCAAGGTAACTCCTGATCATCCTGATCTCGGAGAGTTAGGAATTCTGAGAATTATTCCCTACGCCCACAAACTTCTTCTGAAGCTCGAGATAAAACCAAAACTCAGGAGTCCAGCCCCCGAGGCCCTTCCCTGGGTTTGCATAAAGCTTGTCCACCAAGAGGGGGTTTTCTCTTGGGGCTTTTTCGTGTTATATGTGTACATACAACTCATACGTCACACTCATTGCCTGCCCACTTTTATTTCAGATGGTTAAACTGAAATCATTTGATTAATTGGCATTAATGGTTTGTAATGACCCAAATTAAAAAAAAAAAAAAGTCAAAATTTACAGTAAATATTAAACAGGGAGGATATAATTGGTTAACTCACTTCTAACACTCCTCTTTACTCTTCTCCTCCTATTTTTAGACCATAGTTCCTCCTTTTTTCACTCTCCTCCTGTTACTACCTCACTATTTCAGCCTTTATAGAACTGTTACCTAATACATCTATTAGAGAGATACATATTAGACAGATTCAATCTATCCAATATCTTTATTTTTACCTTTGAAAAGGTAAAAATACACCATTTAAGAGTTGGGCCAGCCAACGCCTTGCGAAGTCTTTCATTTCCACTTCTCAATTTCCTCCTGGTGCTGTTTGTGAGCTCTTTAGGGAACTACCAGTGCCTAGTTCTGCATCCCAGGCCCTGCTGAAATGAGTGCTCCAGCTCACAGCTCTCAGCAGCACTGCCCCTCACAGCCTGCCCTGCAGCGTTTGATTTGGACTCTGCAGTCTGTGGGGGCACTTGGTAAGCACAAACGCATCAGCTGAGCATTTCCAGACCAAACTTCCACACCAGGCACAGACTAAACATGAAGGACAGCAGAAAATAGGCAGGAATTATTATGCAATGTAGCAAAGAACCTCATTCACTTCAAGTAATTATTTGGTCATTCCCCACTGTTCTAAACAGCTGATTTTAAACAACAGTTGGACAGCGATGATGCACTCCCTGTTTATACAACATTCACCCCCTACCTGGGGGTTATCCCTCAATTAAAGCAAGGCACAACAGGCTTCAGCTTCCAGAGGACTTGCTGCTTTTAGTACAGGAGAAAGATAAAATCATGATCTGTGTCCACAGCAGCAAATCTGATTTAAATACAGAACTGATATCTAAGGGGGGAGACCCAGGGCCTTTCCTGTGCTCTTGCCCAGGACCACCCAGTGAAGCTGCAGCAGAAGGATGAGGGATAAGTGAACTCAGCCCTCCAACCACACCTGCACCGCTGCAATCAGGGAAAGCTTAACCCAAACTGTCCTCAAAGCTCCTACATTTTTACAGGTTTAGGTTTGGAGTGGGATTGCCAACTGGGGAGGGAACATGCTGATTTGGGGGGTTACTCTGTTTGGGGTTTCCTACAAGAGTCATCATAACAATAATTTAAAATTTTAATACATTCCAGAGAACCTGATTAAAATATTACAACAAACAAGAGAAACATACTGGACCAAGCCACATAAATTGCATCATGTTTTTGTTAAGGCACTTACACAGAAATTATTTTGGTGTCTTTTTTTTTTTGGTTCTTTCATTACTGGTACTATTCAGTATTACAGTTCTTTCCAGGAAGCTTCAGAACAAATCCCTTAATTCTACAGGTCCTTGTGTATCAAAACATGAACTACTGGAAGCTTCTGACAGACAGCAGCGTACCTGGAAATCACCAATACCTCAAACGTGATGTTTGAAGAAGGTGACAAGGTTATATTGACTTTTTTATCTCCAATCCAACTGGAACTGGGCAACATTCAGCCTCCAGCTTTTTTGGTCGTGCCGACACCGCATTTAAAAACCGAGGTCAAAGTTGAGTAACGAACAACAAAGGGAAAGAAGATTTTCTGCAGCTCTTCGTTTTGGGAGATAAATTTAAGATGGAGAAAGAGTTTGATTAAGTACCTATTGTACTCCTCCCATTCCTCAACCTGCCTGGGTTTGGCCACGAAGCACAACTGTTCTAAAAAGCATTTCAGCCAACTATGACTTGCAAAACTCACTGCAACTCAGCTGCTGGGAAAGCACGGCGGAAATAAAAAAGGATGTTGAATATTTAAGTGACGCTGCAGATTTCTTTCTCCAGTTTTCAGACCTCAAGGTTAACAAACCCCATCATCATTCAGCTTGGTCCAGGAGTCATCTTCCTCTCTGAAGAGTCACAAGACAGTTTTCTGCAGCTATCACACACTACAGCAGGAATTAACCTAGAAATTAGTACAATACAAACTCCTGGAGATTAAAAACTGCCAGACTGGCTTCTGGCAGAGGTGGTGCCCACAGTTCTAAGTCACACTGAACAGTTGTACGAGTTACAACCTCACTCCCTTCAGGACCAGCTGGCTCTGCTCTCTACTTCGCTACTTTCCCTTTCAAGCGCATATTTTAAATAGAACCAGGTTATTTACATTGTTCCTAATGCTTGACCTGCATCAGCTCCACTCACCTGAGCCCCACAGTGTGTGCCAGGCTATGTCAATATTTGTGCTTTTACTAACTAATAATTAACTCTGGCTGTATTAACTAGATAATTGCTAATACTGCCATTAACACGTATAATAATTCCATTAAGCACCATACTGGTGCTATATCCTATAGAACAAGCTGCTCAGCAGAAACACAGACCTACAACCACACTGCTACAAAAAAATACGAAAACTCACACCTGTGAAAATCCCTAATACTGGGAAAACAGTTCTAAGGAAGCCTATATTTGAAAAAAATAGTCCTTGTGCTTTTTATCTTACTGCTGGCAGAAACAGATCTTATCTTTTGTGTTACTTTCTAATAAATTCACTTTTTAGAAGAGGCCATTGGGTGAAGCCTGTCCCAAAGGAGCAGAAGCCGCTCATAAACTTGAGGAAAGTGCTCAACCAGCCGGACCCCAATGGTTCTAGAAGTAAAACACGTACATCACAGAAGCTCTTACAATGTTGAGAAGCTCAATTAATCTTTTTTTTTTTTTTTTAGCTCTGCCTTTAGAGCTCCGTGCAATTTTCCCCTTCCCCAAAAGCTAACCACGAAAACTGTAATGCTCTATTTTTGTTAATGAAACGATCCCATTGCCAAGTCACGATTAACCCCAAAAAACTTGGCTAAATTCACCAGAGGTGCAGTTCTACTTTAATGTTCACTTCAAGTGAACTCCTCAATACTCTAAAAGCAACATGGAAGTTTGACCAATACCCTAAATATATAAAATTTTTAACAAGATGGGAGAAGCAGGAGACTCTTACAAAGTAAGACTTGTCTGCTGGACACACAAACCAGAAATAATCCATTTATTCCCCTCGACCTTCCTTGGCCAGACTAACTCAATTAGTTTCCCTAAACCACCAGATACTTGCCAAGATTAAATATTTGGGTTTAATCATTCAGAAAGTGAAAGATTACGCTCCGTAATGTAACACTTTTTACGGAAACCTCCACTTGAGCAACAGTTCCAGAAAAAAAAAAAAAAAAAAAATTGTGAAATGAAGTAAAAAGCTGCCCAGAACACCACATTTCCACTCTGTTAATTCAAAAAAAAAAAAAGAAGTTTCAGACCCAGGCACCAAGTCAAGACCTCATTTCCAGCAAAGGAGAAGCGGCACGTTCCTAAACGCAGTTAACTCCAGAATAACAACCATCGCCGGGAAGTTATTAAATATCATCATCCCCCCGGCCAGCAACTTGTGCTACGCGCAAGACCTCATGACGGAAGGGCGATAAAAACGTCAGGGCTCATTTTTAGCAGCGCGTCGCGTTAATCCAGGTGTAGGATAACCCGGGCTCGCCGAAGGGAAAGCCGGGACACGGGCTGGGCACCCAGAGGGGCTGAGCACCCGCGGGGCGATTCCGGCTGACGCAGCGCTGGCTGGGGCTGCTGCTGCTGCTGCTGCGTGGAAAATCCGCACGTGGATTCGGGGAACACGCACACACACCCAGGGATGTGGGGAGCGCGCACCCGCGTGGGTCGGCGGAGCACACCGAGGATGGAGGGGGGCGCGCACACGGGTGGATTTGGGGCACACGGGTGGATTTGGGGCACACGGGTGGATTTGGGGCACACGAACACGCGCGCCCCGGCCCGGGCAACATGGACGGCCGGCGGGGAAGGCTCGGCCGGCCCCGCCGCCGCCGCCACCACCGCCGCGCAGGGAGCCCCTCAGGCCCGGCGGGAGGCTCGGCCCGCCGGGCACAAGGAGAAAGGAGAAAGTTTTCCCCCCTCCCACCGCGGCCCAGCGCGAAGTTCCCGCCGCCCCCGCGCCGCCCCAGCCCCCGGCCCGCCCGCGCCGGCCTCCCCCGCCCGCGCTGACAGCCCCGCGCCCCCTCCCTGCCGGCCCCGACCCGCGGAGAACCCCCCGCCCCGCGCCCCACGGCCGTGACAGCCCCGCCGCCCTCACCTCAGGAGAGGGCCGCGCTCCGCGGGGCGAGGAGCGGGCGGCGAAGGGGGTACGGGGGGCAGCGCGCTCGGTGCCCGCGCCCTTATCGCATCCCAGCGGAGCCCGGCTCGCCCCCGCCGCCTCCCGCCGTGTGGGCGGCTCAGGCGGGATCCCCCCTCCCCTCCGCCGCCATCTTGGCTGTCACGGGGCGGGGGAGGCGGGCGCTGACTCTGGAGCGCGGCGGGGCGGGCGCGGGTCCCGCCGCTCCTTGAGGGGGAGGCGGCCGTGCCCCGCCGGTCCCCGGCTCCCGCTGCCTTCTCAGGGCTCCCCCTCACGCCGCGGCCCCGCCGCTCCCGCCTTTCCCCTCACGCCGCGGGTCCGGCCGCTCCCGCCTTCCCCCTCACGGAGCGCGGCGCCGGCGGTTCCGATCCGTGAGGGGGGAGCGGGGCGCCCTCGATGGAAGCGCCTAAAACGCAACGCGCAGACCGCAGAACTCCCCCCACGTCAGCCCTCTAATCCAAACGGCACCTTTGGTTTAAACAGAAATTAATCTCCAGCCCAAATAGGCCGGGATTTGGCTCACCTGCGGCGCCCGTCGCCTGGACCCGGAGGAGGTGCCGGCTGTCTGGAAAACAAGGGATGAGAAAACCGAGGGATTTTCTGCAGGCTTGATGTAACCCGCAGCAGGCTGTTGCATCAAAGACTAGAAAAAGAACCCGGGACAAAAATAATCTTTTAAGAGCGAGCAGCTAAGATTAGTGCAGCGCGTCAAGATGTTGCTGAGCGCTACAGAACGAGTCCTCCTGCCTGTACCAGCACAGGAATATTGCTTTTCTGGCATCTGCAACCCTGAGTATCCAAATTTTATACCAAAGTGATGTTTAGGGATAGGCTCTGACCATACAATTTTGGGTTTAAAGTCAAGCTTCCCTCCGTTCTGGATGTTTGGCTTGAGGGTTTAGATGTGGCTCATCATAAAGACACACGATCCATATGAAATTCTGAATTTGTCTGTGAATATGTTCAAACCTACTGTGTTGGTTTACCTCGTCCCTCTGAAAAATCTGACCAGATAGAAGAATATAAAAGCCAAAAAAAAAGTATAAAATAGGGCTTTTTTTCCCCTCACATGCTTTTATTAATTTGGTTGTTTATAGCAGAAATGCTGCTCCTCCTACCCCTCAGGTAGGAAACGCCACAGCTGACACAAGCCAATCAAATTATTTAATGTGCCAGCAGAAATGTTTCCAGATGCTATGTTTTAATCCTGGAAACGCTTTTCACATAAATAACGATGGTGATGTCCATCTTCTGGCTTGTCATAGTAATTTTGGCATGCAAAGTGTTCTTTTGTCTCTGCCCTTGCTCATTTTTCACGTGGGCATAATTTTTAGGCTTCAGCGTTAACACCCAAGATTAATGGGTATGCTCCTACTTCTAAGAGTATTGTTTCAGCTGCTGTTGTACTGAGGCAAAATCCCTGGTCTGATGTATGAATAGTTCGCTTTGCAGGCTTTGAGTTCACAGCCATGAAAATATTCTTGACTATTCCTAATGGAAACTTTCGTTTTAGAGAAACAAAGTTCTTAAATGTTCCGTGGCAGTTTTCATACTAATAATTTTACTACATAATTTTATAGGTAGAATTTTTTGTAGATGTCTTTGATTTGCTCTTGATTTATTTCCCTCTATCATTTCTGTCCTTCTAGGATTATCTGCACTTAATTACACATTGTGTCGAGGTCAACAAACTGCGGTCAAGGACGGGGATCTCGCTGTGCAGGGCCTGACACAAACACCAAAGGAGTTTCTGCCCAAATGCTGCCATCCCTGCCAACAGTGCTTATCTCTGTCCTGTCTTTCTTGTTCTTACATCTCCCCCTCCTTCCCACCTGATTCCATCAAGCCTCTGCTGCTTTCTCTCCCTGACCTACCTGCTGCTCACGCTCTCAGCTCTGGCACACTTTCATCCCCACCAGCACATTTAATTGCAATGTTCCATTTCATTATTAGCTTGTCACCACCTTTGTCAAGTCACCTTTCCTAACAAATCTCGCCACGGAGCTTTCCTGCGTAGCTTGTCATCAATTTTCCACATTAGGGGCTCATCTGAAACCACGTGAGAAAGGGTCTGTGAAGAATCATGGCTGTAGTTGCTGTATTTATTTGTGAGTAAAGAGCAGCACCAGTGAATAGTGCTACTGTACAGGCAGGGACAGATTTACTGCTTGCCCAGCTCCTGCCAGGCTCAGTGCACAGAGATGTGTCTCTGTGTCAGTCAAACAAAGCCTTTCCCTTCCCAGAGATTTTTCAGGACCTCTGGGCAGTGGTCTCTACATGCACGAGGAGACCGACCCCGAGATCATGAAGTCAGCAGAATTCTTGCTGTTGGATCTTCCAGTCCATGTTGGATCAGATCCTTGTTGTGCGTAGTGAGTTAATTAAACTAGTTAACAACTGCACGCAGTGCAGGTGGGCTGACACCAGGCGTTCCTGTGGGATTCTGCTGCCTCTCAAGTGCAGGGTGGAGCCCTGGCAGCCAGATTTAGCCTCCCCCGGAGTGCAGCCAGCGAGACACGCTGGTTTTCTACGGACTGGCAACCGCAGAACCATTTTTTTCCATGTTACAACCCCAAATTTCTAGCTTGTGGCACTCGTGTAATTTTCGGAGTATTGTTTAGCTTATTTTAAGTGTGTTTTACACATGGGTAAACTCCAGCAAGGCAGAGGACAAGTGGCAGATGGTCAGTGACAGAGCCAGGAATAGAATGGAGGACTTTCTTGTCCCAGGACATGGTTGTAATTGACTGTGTCCCAGGATTGTGAGATGTGATGATTTATAATTCACGAGGCTTTAAAGAAAAAAAAAAAAAAAAAAGGCAGCTATTACTCTTCCCAGTTTTTCCTGGCAGAGGCTGGATTCCATAGGCAAAATGATTTCAGTTTCATTAAGTGTGCAATTTGGAGCTTAATCTGTTCACTTTCTGACCAGTTTTATTCTTTTTGAACTCACTTGGCTGTGCTGTGTGCACTGCTCATTTACATCCACGGGGGGAAAGATGAGGCTCCAAGAGAATCCAACAGAGTGTCTTTCAGATAGACCTATCTGTAACCTTGGTAAAAATAACCATAAAGATAATGAGAATGGATTATTGTAAACCCAATAACTGGCCAAACAAGACTCTGCCTTTCAGAGGATGAATTGCCTTCCCCTGTCCAGTAAGCCACTTTATGGTGCAGTAATGGATCTGCATCCGGAGGGTTGTGCACTGAAATGGAGCCTTTGGCAAGCTGGGATCACACTGGAAATGAGGCAACATCTTCATGGGCTCTTTTAATATATGCATATTTGAAAATCTGGAACTTCTCCCTTTTGACATAAAGAGACTGTCCCTGCTCGGAATGATTAAATTCTAGGACAGATTATGAAGTAATAAAGTATTTAAATATTATGATGCTGCAGTACCACAGTGCAGTTACCCTTCCTTTTACTGATTCAAGTGTAGTATTTCTGAAAAGCCTTTTTGCACTCCAGGGAAACTACTGGCTATAAATTATAAAACAGGCAGTAGAGTTATCATGCATGTATGGGGGGGAAAAAAGAAGTTTCAGACCTTTCTCTAGGTAAAGAATTTACTGAAGCAGCTAAAAATATGGGGAAATGGAGCAAACACAGGGTCTGATCCAAAGGCCACTGAACTCAGCAGAGGCATTCAGTTCATCAGGCATCAGAGTCGTGTATGTCACGAATTACAGTTCACAAATGCAATTAAGAATGTTACTGTATATGAGGAAGGATAAAGTCTGATTGTCTGATTGCATTGTTTCGGCGTTCCGCTCGGATAAAATGAGATTCTTTCTCCACCAGGTAGACTGGATGTGTTGCCAATATTTGTGTGAGAGTTTGTGGTCCCAGAAGCACAGAGATGCTGGGAAACAAAAAGGAAAGAAAATGTATCCGAGGAGGAGATCCAACTGCTTCCAAGCCATTTCTGGAAATAAAATTCTGATGTGGACTCATTACCATTCCACTTCCCAGCGCCGATTGGCTTCCTCAGGATTTCAGAGTGTGCATCTGAGGATTCAGACTGTGCATCATAAAGTTTCCCTCAGCAACTGCTAAAACTACTCACAAGGCACTGCAGGATGGAGCAGCTCTCAAAGATGGAATGGTAAGAGCCCCAGGGGACAGCCTTTGGGATTAACCGGGCAGAAAACAGTTAAATTTTGTGCCTTGCTGTGTTGCTGCGGGTTAGGGGATCAAGCAGGTGATGCCATACCTCCTGTCCTGTTGTTAGCAGGCAAGTAACTGTGCACAGCTGGAGCATGTTCTGGAATGGCTCTTCCCAGAGGCCCTGGAAGCTCCGAGACAAAGATTTGCGGCACATTTTGTGGGAACGGGACAGCAGGAGGGTTGCTTGAGGATAGTCCAAGCCCTAATGCATCTACCAAAGCCAGCTCGCTGTGTGTGCCAGCACTAACCTGTTCTAAGTGTTGCTGTCATCAGTAGAGCAAGATAACAAAAGCTGCCCTTTGTGGAGTAATATCAGGAAGGAAATTGTGCATGCAGATCCTCCAGCAAACACAACAGGCTGGGGCTGGCAGGGTACACATTGATACTGCTGGTTTGCTGCTATTTTCAGCAGCTCCTGTACCCTCGGGTGAGAGAAGGACTTAACTGCTGTCCCTGCTGTTCAGGCATCAGCCTTAAAGGTTCCATGTGGGCTCCTGCTCTTTGGCCCATCTGGAGGTGATTTCTGCAAATAGCAGTTTTCCTGTGAATCAGTCCAGTTCACCACCCAGAGCCACCCCACGTGACACTGTGGTGCTGTGGTATCTCCTCTCATCTCACATCACATAAAAACCGGCTTTCCTTCACTAGAAATCTCAGTTCCTCATTGTTTGCACTTTTATTTATCTTCGAATCCCGCCCAGGCCAAGCAATCGCATCCCGCTTACCTAAACATTCCCTACTCACTGCAGGCTCTAAACTCTTGTGTAGTCCTGCTGTTCAAAGTTTTTTGTGTGTTGTTCTGGAGTTCACTTATATCATGAGGGGTGAAGTGTATCTGTCAGTTAACCACTTCTCAGGAGTACTATTAGGTTTAATTAATGTTTGTAGAACACTATTGAGATTCTCAAGAGAAGCGGCAATAGAAGTGCAAAGGATTATAATTAATTTAGAACTATCTCATTTTTGAGTAAATGGCTAACAACACTTAAGCTGAGATTCTCCAAGTAAAACTAATTTATTTGATTCTTAAACAAAAACAGTCTGGAATCTGGGTTCCATTTGCTACTTCCAGTGTATGATGCGCTTTGATTTTTGTGGTCCTTCGATACCCTTTGATACATCCAGGCACATTGCGCAGCCTCTTTTAGCTCAGGAAACACAGTCCAATATATGTAAGTCAAGTTAAAATATAATAACAAAGTAACTAAGTCCATAAACTTAAAGACAATCCACAGCACCATTTAGTATGTTAAGTGTTTGAACCATAAAGCCTATAATTAATGTTATGGAATGATTTCCATATTTATTTATGAGGCATCTCATTTACATAAATAGTCATTATCTGGAAATAAACCCAGATGATTAAAATTCCGAAAACTGATTGAGATCAGTCAAGATGTACCAAAGAGATTTGCTAGACTCCCTGTTTGAGAGTGTTCTGAGAGAAGAAGTCGCTGCTCCCAAACAAGCTTAAACAGGCCTGGGCTGTGGAAACACATGACATCATCAAACAGAACGGTTATTTTGTACAGTGGGAAAACATTGGGTCACTCTTCTCACTGACTGTCATGGAGAGCTTCCAAGAAAATGCTTCTGACACATCTGCACTGGAAATCTGACCCACACTGTAGCTGGTGTTGTCCTAACACAGATTCCTGCTTTTCTGAAACTCCACAGCGAGTCAAAATCCTTTTCAAAATACTCATTTCTTTCAAAATACTTTAAATACTTACAGGACTTCCAGTACTTTCGAAGTTATGCGTCTAGTCAGGAAACACATTGAGCAGAATGGAAAAAAAAAAGAGAAGAAGAAATGGCACTTTCATGTTTCTGTTTGCAAGCTGGATTCATCACTCCTCAGCTATTACCTACAGAGTCCCAGGTATTTAAATTTATGTTCTGGTTGATACAAAGAACATGTCTCGGGTCCTGCTGTCACTGCTTTTGCCTTTCAAGACCCAGAGCGTTCACTATTCAACTTTTTCTAGGTAGAGATAAAGCCACCAGTTTTTAAAAAAGCTACAGAACATACTTTAAAAAACTGCAATTCCCCTGAAAATTCAGACCCGAGTCTGTCCTTTTTCAGCCTAAGATGTGTCTTTGAAGTGGAAGTGTAAGCCCAGAGCAAGGTGACAGAGCACGATCTCCCCTGTTTGCATGATTATCTTACTAATTCCTAGAGAATGGGGGTTGGCTCAAGAACTGAGTCACGAGGATTTCATCTCAATACAGATATTTTTAGTATCTGTTATTTTATCTCGGGTACTTTTAAAATCTGTATCGCTGCCCAACTCCTCTCCTAATTATCTGAAATCCTCCTGTAACTGCTTTGGAATGTTCCCTTCTATTATTACAATATTATCTTGTATTATATTGGCTCCTCACTGCTCATCTATTGATTCGGTCAGGTGAGACTGTCCTTGCTGAGCGTGTGAGCAACTGCTGAGAAACCGGCAAAACAGAGTGACAACATGAAATCTGCCCGGTGAGTCACGGGAAATCAGGTCAGCCCAGGCTCTGCCCTTGGCTGAGCTCTCTGACAGTTGGCTCCAGCTTACCCCCAAACTCATCAGACCCCCCCAAATTAATGGTTGTGTTCCTTTGCCATGTATCACTGCCGCTTGGGGGTTAGAGGAGATGAACACTGCCTCAGCAACTGGTCCACAACCTGCAGCTGAGAAAGGATACGGGAGCAAACACAAACCAAATCACCTTGAGAGTAAAATACAAACCCTATTTGTTTAACCCAATTTGTGCCAAATAATATTATGGGTCCACTCCATCTCAGCCACTTGAGGCTCAAAATCAGTGTGCTGAGAGCAGTGATGTGTCTGGTGTGGTTCATACCTGGGGCAGATCCTCTGCTGCAACAGTAAGGGGCTCTACAAAACCAGGTGGGCAGAGAGAACTGTGAATTAACGGTTAATTAAACTGCTTCGTCACCTCCTTGAGAAAAGTGTGACCAAATGTTCATGCAAAGAAAGTAATTCACATAACCACGTTTGAATTTGACTCATAACACAGTAAAAAACTACCTTAATAAATGGCAATTTTTGAAAACCACTGTCTGACTCCCGATACAACAAAAATACTTCCAGTATAAATAATGGAATTGGAGGAAATGTCCTTGGCAAGTCAATTTGTTCCATGCTGCTGATGGTTCCTGTTAGTGACAAGGATTTGTTTTTCAAGAGGGAAACAATGGAAAACAGATGCAAAACCATTTACCAGAAGGCCAAGCAATGGCAGCTTTTCCAAAATGTCAAGTGTGCAGAGTGGAGTCAATTTAAAAGAGAATTAATTATTTAAACTGAATTAATTTGACTACAATGAAGCCCTGTTAAGCCTTCTCATCCATCCTGCTTCCAACTGTGCTACCCCCTTACAGTCTAAATGTAAGTACTGACCTCAATTTTCAAATACTTCAAACAAAATCTCCCTTACCCAGTCAAGTGCCAATACGTTGCTGGTTTAATACATTTACTGCATCCCTTCCAGGAACTCACCCAAAGAACTGTGCTCACCTCCTCCACATTCCCAATTCATCCGAGTTTGATCCCTGGGTCCCCTTTCTCCCCATTTTCCTCTTTCAGCTTCGTACCCGTGGTGTTTTCCCGGAAGCCTCAGGCAGTTTCCATCGCTGCATTCATCAGATCCACCTTTGCCTGCAAGTCTGTCCTTTGCATAAAGTCCCTCATATCCTGATTTCAACAACTTCTTTTTTTTTTCTTTCATGCACTGTCTTGTTTTTGCTCGCCTTTAGGGACAGGAAGGTGACTGAATTTTGAGTCCACAGCTTTCATATGGAAGCTCATTTTCTCAGGGGAGTATCCACACCTACTTCCCCTGGAACCAGTTGTCCCAAAGGGCTTCAGTTCCTCCCGGAACATGGGCCATAAAAAAGTTGGAATACACAGATTATCACCCCTAGAAGGAATACTCCAGGGATCACAGTGCCCACTGTTGGCATTTTCCAGGTCAGCAGGGATTTGCAATGCTATCAACAATTTAAAAGTGGCAATAATGTTTACCTTTTTCCCTGATAGTGTTGTGTGGCAAACACCAACAGAGCCACTGTTCCTCTGAAACCTTTTGTTTCCCATGGGAATATCTATAACCATTTCTATCAGTGGTAAGTCAGAGCTGTCACTTTTGGTTTTCAGTTTCAGCATGGGCAGAGGAACCATTCCAAAACCACCCTTTTCTGTCACTGTTGAAGCAAAACATCTGTGCTAGATTTTATATGAAGTAAATTCCTTTATTTCTTCTATTTCATGGAGGAAAAGCAATCCTGTCTATTAAGTAATAAACTTAATTGCCCTGGGTCTTGCCTGCACTGGGAATGCATATTAATTTAAATGCATCAGTGTAAAAATCAGTCTCATTAAACTATCTCAGAGCCCTAAAATAGACTGAGCACTGTTCTAACACTTGCAGATAATCAGTCATATCAAAGTTATAATTTACAGGAGCTCATAATGAACACAAACAGGAATTAAAACAGCAAGGAAAAATGTTTAGTGGAAGTGGTATTTAAACTGATGGTTAAGAACTCTCTTCTGGAGCATATTCCAGGCTTTGGAGGGATACAGTTGGTAGGATTTATGTGGTGTAGTAGAAACAACGTATAAAACATGAACACACGGAAGCCAGACTGACACCCTCACCTCAGACAGGCATTTCTGAAGTGATTTTGTGCCCTGCCACTTCCTCGCTGTGTGGGGCAGTGACTCACGCGCACGTGGAAAACGCCAGCGAGTTCTCAGAAGCCGCAACGTTCGCTCGATCCGTCCCAACCGATGGCGCCAGGGATCGGCCCTGCACGGCCTGCGTGGCATCTCCGCAGTCACCCCGGGCACAGCAACGCCCAGCGAGGTGCCTCTGTGAGGCTGATGGGCACACAGGAAGCCGGGGAGCATCTGCTGCAGCTTGAGATGGTTCTGCCTCCAGCGACTGCCGCAGAACGTCAGGCTCTGCGTTCCACGGCCTGCTCACTAGGCCTTTGGCACCAACAGCTGTTGGACAGGAGATGTAAAACGTTACACCTACTGAAAGGGAGGTGCACTGCTTCCTAAAGGGCCTTTGGGATGTTAAAAGGCGGTTTTTTGTTTCCATTTTCTGATGACTGGAAAGGCCGGATAGCAGGGTCTGCATATGGAGTTACTTCCTGATGGTCAACCACTTCCTATTAACAACTTTTTTTTTTTTCTTGTGTTCTGTTTCCCTTTCCAAACCTGCTTTGTTTTGTTTTGTTTTGTCCTGTTTTAAACACCAAAAACAATTGCCCCATATACTGAATAGCAATTATAATCATCCTAATCGTGGTGAGGAAGCCGTGTGCTTCCCTGGAGCAGGGCTGGGGCTCCCAGCCCAGGCAATCTGTCTTCTTGGAGCTTACCAGCATTTCTATAGCATGGACAGCCAAGGAACAGAGTTATACAAAATAAACACCAAACAATGTAGAGCAAAGCGTGTCTTTGTTTAAAGAAAGAGCTCTCGAACGCGCTGGTTTAAAAGGCAGCTCAGCCAAAACGGGCAGGTTCTCTGCGTGTGTGAGTGGAGAAAGTCTCTGCTCCACGTGGTTCAGCAGTTCACCACCACCGTAGGATTTTCATTTGTGTGGAAAACTTCTAACAGGGAACCACTGACAGCAGCGTATTTTTAGGATATTGAGGCCCATGGCATCATCTTTCTGTACTTCCTCTGAGATTGTAATTTTGTCTGGGGTATTGCAACAGTTGTGATGAAATCGGATCTCGCCATGCATGGCAGATCCTTTGGGTCTGACACCGTGAGATGAAAGTGGGGTTCAGAGCAACAACGAGAAATATGAAGATAGTACTCCAGAGTTAGGAAAGTGTAGGTGAGAAGGGAATTTTGCCCAGAAATTCTGTGCTCTGTGCTTTGGAGTTTTATGCAGGGTTTTTTGTATGTTCTATTCTTAAACTGCAGATGGATGCTGGTTTGCTGGAAAATAAATGAAGCACAAGGATGACTTCAAACATTTGCAGGAGCCATGCTGACACTCAAAATATAGAAACATCAAGTAACTTTCCTGGTGAGATCATAAAAGCAGAGCCACAGTGATCAAAGAAGAAAATGCAAGACTCTTACTCCATTCCTAATACAAGATACATTCTCCTTCTGGGACCAGGAGCCTCCATGGCACAGAGATGCTCCCACAGTCTACAAATACAGTACATAAGGTGGGTACTTTGACAGTATTTAGTTAGTTAAATGTGGGGATATTCATAAATACAGGAGATGTAACCCTTGAGAGCGACAAATGACTGATCAGGTTATTGTTGTCTAATAGAGTCGTAGAATCCCAGAATGGTTTGGGTTGGAAGACTCTTTAAAGATCATCCAGTTCCAAGCCCCTGTCATGGGCAGGGACACTTTCCACTAGCCCAGGTTGCTCCAAGGCCCATCCAACCTGGCCTTGGACACTTGCAGGGATCCAGGGGCAGCCACAGCTTCTCTGGGCAACCTGTGGGCAATCCCCTCCCTTGACCTGCTGCCCACGCTGGGGATGCAGCCTAGAATACATTTGTCTTTCTGCTCTCAATCCTATTATCTTCTGGTTTTCACAGGGAACTTAATTTATTAAACTGTATTAATATTAGAATAATTAAATATATGTCCTGAACTGTGTGCACATTGCATTTAGCCAGCTTGGAAACAGGCCAAAACCTGAAGCAATTTTTAGGAGAATTGCAGAATCAATACATCAATTCCCATTAATTTGGTGTCAGAGGAAACAAATGTGTACCTGTCTGAAACGTGTGCATTCCCTGCAGAGATGTACTAAAATAGGCATCTCCTGTCTGCCTTCCCTGTGCCCTTCAAACATCAGAAACCAGGGCCAGAATGGGCCAAACCCAGACTGGCTCCAAAATCCAATGGAGCCAGTTTTAGTAACCCAGTATCCTGGACGAGTTAGACACAAATCCAAGCCATCCTAAACTTTACCCACTGCACCAAGTTCCCTGTTGGTCCCCCAGTGCTCCAGTCTCCCCAAAATTCATCTCTGCTTCAGGGCTGGGAACAGCTAGGCCAGCTGAGGAGGAACTCCTTTCAGTCTGTCACAGCCATGAGCTGTAATTCTGCCCAGCAGTGAGAAAATATTAGCGACTAATCCTAATCGAGAGCACATTTTAACCCAGCCAGAGCTCTGGATCAATCCAAGCTCCGTGAAATGTGCTGTGCTCCAAAGCAGCTTGCACATCTTGCTCACTGCACAGCTGGCTGCTGAGAAAACTCTTGTCTCAGGAGGTTTGCTCAAGCACATGAAACATATTTTTAGCATCCCAAAGGTGACTGTACTCACAGAGCTGAGAGTGCAACCTGCCTGACAGCAGCTTTCCAGAAGAAGGAGCAGGAGAGAGACAACACATGATGAGATTACCCCCCACGGAAGGAGACTCCTGCTTGGAATATCAACACCTCTTTTCAGTCTCTCTCGTTGTGACTGTTTGTGCTTTCATCAGATTTTGCATTTGCTCCTTCAGCTACGGGACCAGATGGCTCCCACACACGATGCTCTGAATCGTGGCAGGGCTGGAGGTGTTTGTTCTGTGGCTCAGCAAACGCAACGCTGCACCAGGTGAAACCCCCTCTCAGCCACACATGGTGCACGCTGCGTGGAGCTGCAGCAGGTGCCCGTGGAGCCACGCTGAGGAAGATCCTTTCCTTCTTGCAGGTTGTCAGGAAAATGTCTGTCATACCTTCAGCACAAATGGCAAGGAGTAGAGGCAGCGCAGTGACACATGGCACAGGACAGATGCTCGGGATGCACAGTGCCTGATGGCAAGGAATCCTGGCGGGCCAAGGACAGGAGGCTCTTGTTCCCCCTCTGATTTCCCCGTGCAGCTTGTGATTAAACCGGTGCTGACACCTTGCCCAGTGCCTGTTTGCACAGCCAATAGCCCTGGGCAGGACTGCTGGCCGTGAAGCACCTACTGGAAAAGGAGAGAATCTCACTGTTTGAGAGCATCTTTGCCCCTGGCATTTGCTAAACAGGAAACAAAACTGATTTTCTCCTCCCTTGCCTCACGTAGATGTGGGGGAGATTCAAGCTGGGGCAGCCCTGTGAAATGAGAGTGAACGGGGGGGCGTTTGCCAATGGAACAACCACTGCTCAGGAGGGCAAGGCTGGAGGGACTGCACAGCATGTGATTTGTGCTTCAGTGACAAGACCATAAACACCACCCTGCAGTTGTCCCTCTCTGATCCATCGCGCTTCTGAGCACTGAAAAACGCTGGAAGAATGAAAGCTGTTTTTCCAATGTGTGGGAGATGGCTGTTCAGAGAATTCCAGCCTGCCGTGCTGGGGGCTCAGTGCAAGCACCAAACCCCAGGGTGGCTGAGGGATGTCCCGGATGGCACGATGGATACGGTGTGTGTGTGCTCCAGGCCAGGCAACGAGGGTACAGCGAAGCACCTGGCCACTCTCCAATGGCCACACTCCACCTCAAGTATTTTCTGAGATGGGAAAATTCCCCTTTGGCTGTTTCTCAGCTTGCTTTCCTTGGTATGCATTTGACATGCCCTCGTCGTTGGGAGTGACAGGACACCTCGTGAGCGGGCGCCGTGCTGGCCCTTGGCAAGCAGTGGGACACCCATCAGGGAGTGGAGCAATGACCAGGAATGTCACAACTGCAGCCTGTGCAGAGCAGCTCTGATGAAGGTTAAACATGTGCTGCCACCACCTCTGAGGTCAGCGTTGGGCTCGCCTTAGCAGTTCTATAAATAGATGGCCAAGGTTGACTGAAAAGAGGATTTGGCTCGGCTGGATCTTGTTTAGCATTCCCAAGAGAGGAAGGCAGATTCTTTTCCCTTTTCTCTTCCAGCCTCTAACCTTGAGTTGGTCTCTGTGGGAAGCATTAGTGGCATTTGCCAGCAGAGCGGCCGCCGTGAGCCGGATGTCCTGCTGTGTCCCACAAACCACACGTACACGTCCCTTCAACCTGCTAACCCAGACCTAATTCCACTAAAGCCTCAAACTAATTCCTCACCGGCAAAACTAAGGAAAGAACCCAAACAAACCTGGAGCCTAATTGCTCGAAAACAGTAGGACACCTAGTGGATTTATGGAGAATATCTTTGGGATTATCAGAAACATTTTGTCATTTTCTTGGCAAAACCAACTGTGAATATATTTATGGAGGAATCATTGAAATATCAGAGTTTCTATTTAATAAATTAGTCTTGTTATAGCTGTTACAGCTTCCAGTTTTCCTGGAAAAATTATTGCAACCTATAAAAAACCCGAAGGGTATTGTTTGCATGACTTGGAAAAAGAAAAAAAATTGTGGAGGACTGGATGGTTCCCAAGGTCTGGGAACAGGAGGAAGGGTATTCTGCCAGATCAAAGCCATCCCAGTTGTTCCATCTGACAGCTCTCTAATGATCTTAATGAGCAGAGTTCTACAGTCTCAGCCTGGCTCCCTGTACCATCGTGCAGCTTCACAACATCTCCGTGCTGAGCACAGCCAGGCAGCTCTGCTGGTTGTTTCAGCAGAGAATGACTTGGCCACAGAAGCCAAACTGCCTTCTTCACTCCCCAGGGCCGGGCTTTTGGATCCAAACTCGAGGATGATGGGCCACGTGACGATGGCTGCGCTGCTGTCGCTGTGTTTGTCTGGTACCAACACCACCATCCAGCAGACTGTGACCCTGGATAGGAAATAACCCCCTGTGGCAGGGTGTGCAAGAGGAAGGAGATTTGGAGTGATGATTCTATGAAATGATATCCTGGCCAGCAATTATCCTGGGGCTGCCAGTGCTGTCTCGCTGGGATGTCTCCGGAGGCAGCAGACGCAGACAAAGAGATGAGTGTTGAGTCCCAAATGGGTGCAGGAGACTGAAGGCTTCATTTGACAGTCAGCACAAGGAACACCAAGTCACAGAGGCCTGCACTCAATTCCTCTTCCCAAAGCACATTGAGAACTTCCCTTCCTTTCTGCTTATTCCATAATATTGTCCCAGTGAAGAATGTCTCCAGAAGATGGTTGATTGTCCTGCTCCCTTCCCACTCTTTCCTCAGTGCTGCCAAGACCCCTAAAGAACAGCAAAACCAGGATGAGGTTTGATTTTGGATCGGTCCCTGTTCAGATCCGGGTCTTTTATTAAATTTCAACTTGAAGGTTAGGAAAGCAAAGGCTGATTTAGAAATTAATTTTGGTTTGGTCTATTTCATCTTATATCTTTTCTTCTTAGAGCTGGAGGTGGTGGAATTCAGGTGAGCTATCAGCAGAAAAATTCCTATTGGGTATTTTCATTGCTCCTACCTGTGGCATGAAATCACCTGAAAAATAGAATTCCTTGCACGTTGTAGACCCTTTAATTTGGTCTACGGTTTTAAAAGAGTGTTGTGGTTTTTTTATTTCTGTGCATGGATTTTATATTTGAAGAGTTTTTTTCCTGACTGATGTGTCAAATTGGGGGTAGAGTGTGCAAAGAGTATGCTTTTGTCTAATTTAGCAGCTGGATTGGAAAGCTTGAATTATCTCTGCATAATTGCAATGATTCATGGATTGTTAGGAAATTGCAAAGTATTGATTGGATTTTCCCCTTAGGAAATATTTCTCCTCTGATAAAACAGAGTAGGTTCTGGGGTTTTGCTTTTGTCCTTCCTGCTTTCTGCCCCAGGGAAACCAGGGGCTGCTTTCATCTGGAAAACAGGAATTTGGGTCAGCAGCCATTCAAGGACAGTTTTGAATTATTGCGATTTCCAATTCCCAACCTTCCCCTGAGCTCTGCAGAGCGATGGGCTTGACAAAGTCTGGGCAGGGATTTCCAAGCCTGAAAAAGCTGGGACCAGCAACAAATACCAGCCATCCCTGTTTCACATTCTTCCACTTGTCAAACACCAGTTGTGTTTGCTCTGCAAAAACAGCTTGACCTTGTTGTGGCAATGCTACAGCCATCGGAGATGGTGGCAGATTTTCCACTTTATTAGGCCAGGATTTCTCTCGGGCTCTCAGGAGGTGGTGGGAGGAGGGGAGTGGGAGACTTGAAATGAAAATCAGGTGCAGGGAGAGCCTGCCCACAGTGCCTGGGGCTGGGCAGCCGGGGCTGGGAGCCCTGACACACATCTGCACGTTAATGGTGCTGGGCCCTTTTGGCAGCTCCAGATGAATTTCCAGAACAGAGCCATAAATACGCAGTTAGGAGTGTGACCTCTGCTGCTTTTCTTCTCTTAATTGAACATCCAAGGCCCAGCTGAGTATCATTCCTTGTCTCTGCTCCAGTTGCTTGGAACGTGCTGCCTCTGCAAATGGTTCTGCCTAAGTTAGGAATTACGGGAGTGTGCTAATTCAAGGTTTGCTGTGAATTTAGTGTTCCCTCAAGGGTGACACTAATGGAATTAACGCAGCAGAAATGCCAGTGCTGAGTGACTGTTCTCCCATTAAAAGCTGTCAGTCAGAGAGCACAGAGCCCTCTGTTCTTTCAGGCCTGACCTCTGCTTTTTGGCCATGTTTCATGTGCACGGCAGGTGTCCTGGGCCATCCCATCCCATCCCGCTCCCCATCCCTGCTCGTTCCAGGAGGGGACACAAAGAAAGAGCAGAGCAGCCAAAAACCAGCCTGTGCTGAGAGTGACATTTGCTGAGGGTTTGGCTGTTCTCATCTGGGGCTTGAACAGCAACAAAATTAACCCAGGACTGACCAGGATATAAGACTTTAATTTCTGGAGCTCCCTGCTAGTCCAGCGCTCTCCTCATGCTCTGCTCTGTTGATTCTTGTTTAGACACAGAGCTCTTTCAGTTTTCACCATGAAAAACCTGATTTTAAATGAGCAAATGCATTTAAACAGGCTTAGCTAGAAACAGCCCCCACTGCTTCTCAGCTACATGGCAATCTGCACAAATGTCCATGTTTTTGGTAAAAAGGATTGGTAAAAATGCCTCTGCCTCGTAATGGCTGATGTTCAACAAGTGACAGCGGTGCAGCAACATGGGGACTGTGATTTTTAGCTCAGGCAGAAGAGCCACTGCCCTCACTCTGTGCCCTGATGTCCTGCACAGGACGTGCCGCTTCCAGATGAGGAACATCTGCAATTTGGTGCAAGAGGAAGTAACGCTTACGCACACAAAAAATGTAAATGAAGGGTGTTTCCAGGCTCACCAGCGAAATCCTGAACGAGGAAAGGAGAACAGCTCTTGCAGGAGGACAACTAAAAATAGTTTGTCTTTGTCATTTTTAAGTGTTTTTAGCACTAATAGCAATTCTGGAGGATGAAACCAGGTCTGAGAAGCATCAAGTGAAAATTAATAGCTTTTTAGCAAGGAAGTTCAATGGAGAAGTGCAAATAGGATGTGAGATGGAAACCTGAACTCCTGAGTTATAAATACACCCCAGCCTCTCCTCAGACAAGTACCCATTATCCATTTAATGTGCTTCTCGATGCTGTAGGAATGAGAAGGGCGGCAGAAGCTGGATGGGCACTTTCGCACTCAAGACTTTGGGTGTTCTGGGTTTATCTGGAGACAAAAAGGACGAATCCAAAGAGCACAGAGACCACCTTGCTGCTACGCTACCAGAGCGCTCTCTGCTCGGCCAAGGCCTCACAGTGCCCTTATGGGAACTGGCACGTGCTTTTATTCCCACAGGACACAGGGAACAGAGCCCTGGGGATGTGAAGCCCTGAGTGCTTGTTGAGTTTTGTGCCCCTGTGAGGAGCTGGAGGAGCATGACCTGCCTGGGCTCGCTGGGGGCTGATGGCAGGATGTGAGCCTGGACTCCGATGCTCCAATCTCTCAGGCTGTGCTCCTGTGGTGGGAAACACTCCGTTATTAATGCTTTGTTTTCCCCTCTCAGAGGCTCTGAGGCAGCATGAACTATTTATTTTTAAAGCAGAGGATCACGTTCTGGCTCGTTATCCTTCCAGCAGACGGTAACTGATGCCCAGCACTGCTGCCCGTGCCCGGGGGTTACTTTGCACGCACAGGGGTGATGACATAGCCACTGAGTGCAGCCACGGCAAACATGCTGCTGCTGACGGCAGCCTGGTGGGAAAAGAGCATTTTGCAGGGATTTGGTTTAATCATCTGGATGCGAGCGCTATTTTTATCCTCTGCTTTTTAGGTCTCAAGCCCGTGCCAAGGGAAGCTGATGACAAAGCTGGTGTCTCCCATGGCACAGGGGCACGCAAGGGTGACCAGGGCAGGGTAGGCAGTGGGGAAAGGGCCTGTGGCTGCAGCCGCTTTACACCTCACGAGCTGAAAGAGCTCTGACACCTCCACCACGAGCTCCATTGCTTTCACATGCCCCTCTCAGACCAGTTCATAGGAAGGATCTGTGAGACCTGGGGCCCTCCTGCCAAACCACGCCAAGCTGCCCTGTGGCTGTGGATGGCTTTGGGGTGAAGTCATCGCCTGTCCATGGAGGTGGGAGAAGGGCACCCACACTGTGCCCAGGCATGGGCTGGTGGGCACCGGGCAAGAGGTGATGCGAGGTGTGGTTGTTACACCTCTGTGTGAAGGGGTCTAAAGGAGCTCAGAGTGCATGTGGACATCATTTGAGCACAGGAGCCTGTGGAGCTCGGAGCGTGCCCTTGCATCAATTTGGGAACTGAGTCTCGGGAGCTTGGAGCGTGGCCAGGCATCATTTGGGCACAGGAGCCCGGGGAACTCGGAATGTGCCCATCCATGGTTTGGGAACAGGAACCTTGGGAGCTCGGAGGGCGTCCATGCATCCTTCGGGCACGTGAGGTCGAAAAGAAACGAAACGACGAGCAGGTAGAAAAAAGATCAGGTTCCACCGAGATTTGAACTCGGATCGCTGGATTCAGAGTCCAGAGTGCTAACCATTACACCATGGAACCGCTCTATCACCACTCCCTCCCGGCCGCGCCTAGTGCCTTCCCTCCGCAGCGCATTCCCCGCATCCCCGCACCCCCCCACGCCCACCGCGGGTGCCGGGCCGTGCCGGTGCCGGGGGGCTGCGGGCCGGGCGGGATCCCCGCTCGGTGTAACGCGGGGCTGGCGCGGCCCCGCCCCGGGCGCGGTCGGGCGGCGGCGCCGCTGCCCCGGAAGCGGCCGCGGGCGGGCGGGCGGAGCGCGCAGGGCGGAAGCGCCGCGGCGGCTGCAGGGACGGACCGGCCACGGCCCCGCTCCCGCTCCCGCTCCGCCACCCGCCATGGGCACCCGCGACGACGAGTACGACTATCTGTTCAAAGGTGAGGCGGCCCCTGTGGGGCTCTCCGCGTGGGGGCA